TTTCTATCATTAGTACACCTGAGGGGGCATGTGATACACCCTTGGATGGGAACTGCTGGGGTGCGTCTGATGGGGAAGACATGGGTGTGTGTGATCATTTGAAATGAGCCCTTCTGATTTAGACATATCTCACCTCCCCCTCCCCACATTGACAAGTACTACTTTTCGTGATCCAGCCACTGACTTGAGATCTGGGGACATTATATCTCTTTTCTTTCTTAAAAAAAAAAAAAAAAAAATATATATATATATATATATATATGTATATATATATATATATATATATATATATAGAGAGAGAGAGAGAGAGAGAGAGAGAGAGAGAGAAGCATCAATGATGAGAGAGAAGAATTGATTGGCTGCCTCCTGCATGCCCTCTACTGGAGATCCACCCACAACTCGGGCACGTGCCCCTGACCAGAATCGAACCTGGGACCCTTCAGACCGTTGCTCTAGCCACTGAGCCAAATCAGCTATGTCTCTCTTATTTTTCAATGACAGTTGATATTCAGTTTTGTTTTGTATTAGTTTTGGGTGGATAGCATAATGACTAGACAATCATCTACTTTCCAAAGTGGTCCCCCTACTATTTTAAGCACCCACCTGGCACTGTACATAGTTATTACAATATTATTGGCTGTATTCCATATGCTGTCCCTTATGCATCTCTTTGCAATTACATTTTGCAGGGTGCTGTAGGCACACCGTAGGAACACGGACTTCTGTCAGGGGGTGAGGACATTGGCGTGGTGTTGGGGTTGAGTCACTAATTGGACCACTGTGTGACCCACTTAAGTAAAGACTGTGCTGTTGTTTTTTTAATAGAAATATTATTGTTCACATTCTCTTGGAGTTATTTAGAGATGACTTTGGAGATGTCCTTTAAGATCTTAATGCATGTGGGTGTCACCCTGTTGTTAAGAGCAGGATAAAGAGACCTTTGTTCTTGTCTTCTTGAAGGAAAGATTTCAATCAAAGAGACCAAGTGCAGCAAAGCAACACGAATGTATTGGCTGCAATAAGAATACACTCAGGACAGTGAAACCAGGAAGGGTTTGGCATAGAAGAAGCGACAGGAGAGCCCAGGCCGGGCTGCTTTGGCTCCCTGGGAAGTCAGAGAAAAAGGAGCCGTGGAGACAGGTTCAGAGGCTTCGCCTGGGATGAGCTGCTGCTGCCCATGCTCCCCTGGTTGCACGTCTCCTGGGGTCCCAGGGGGAAGGCAATGGCATGGGCGTGCTCCGCGGAGGGAGCGTGCACCCTGGGCCCGTGGCATTGAGGGAGTTTCTCTCTCTTGCAGGTGGAAATCTTATGGAAAGGTCTCAGCAGAGGGTCTCAGTAGACTATTCATCAGCTTTCCAGAGTCACAGTCTCCGCTGATTGGTCAGCACCAGGCCGGTGAGGGATGGGGGTGTCATTAGTCCATGCTGCTGGTCCTGAGGCAGCAACAGTGTCACTCGTCTGGTTTTGCTGCTTTTCTGGGCCTGGAGCTGAAATACAACTGAGGTCTAGATGGTATCCTTAGGGGGTCTAAACCGCATGGCCAGCAATATGCTGGAGGCGAGGTCCTTGTTTTCCCTTGCTAGGCACCCAGGGTTTTCTGCCCTGGTGACCTTCTGTACCTGCCCTGGTCCTTGCTCTGCTCATGTCTGACTGCCTATGATGGCTTGGTTGAGGTGTAACTGGCAAAATGTACAATGAGAAGAGAAGAGAAATATCTACTGGTGGCCTGTTTTAAGCACCTTCACCAGGAATGAACCCACAATCTAGGTATGTGCCCTGGTTGGGAGTTGAACCCACAGCCTTTTGGTTTATGGGATGATTCTCCAACCAACTGAGCCACACAGGCCAGGACTTATTTAGATCTTTAATTTCTTTTTAAAAAATATATATTTTATTGATTTATATTATGTAAAGGAAGGAAGAGAGATAGAGAGTTAGAAACATCCATGAGAGAGAAACATGGTTCAGCTGCCTCCTGAACATCCCCCACTAGGGATGTGCCCGCAACCAAGGCACATGCCCCTGACCAGAATCAAACCCAGGACCCCTTCAGTCCAGAGGCTTGATTTGAGGAGAGGATGCCATAGCACAAGTGAGAAAGTCAGTCTTACCTGCCTGGCTGGTCTGGTGGCTAGCTCCTTTCTCCCTCCTCTGCTTTTTCATGACTCATTTCCTTCAGTTCTGTGTATTCTATCATGTTTGACACCAGCTTTCAAGCCTGCCTCCACCTTAAGCTCTTGGAACCTGGTCTCACTTCCTTAAGCGAGAGGAATATTTTGTTCTAGAGTTGACTACTCCTTCTGACACAGCAAAGAAAAGATACACAGATTATTTCCTTATAAAATACCCTTCTCTCTCCTCTCTCTGAGAAAGGCCCTGTCTCTCCGGAGGCTGGTTATGAAACCACCTGCCTTGTCTTCTAGGGGGCACATGCGATTTCTCTTGGCTTCTGTGTTGGAAACACAGAAGAACATGCCTCCTTGGCTTATGAAATTACATATTGCAGTGGGTCAGTAACTGCAGACTTCTGCTAAAACCAGTTTCACTCTGATTAGGATGCCCTTGTGGCTTCGATGTCTATGCAAATTGCATTTCATGATTATCATGCTTGTTGGGCCCATCAGCCTTTGTCATGGGATGGTAGGAAAACCCAACCTTATGCTACTGAACACCTAGCCTTTATTTTCATGTTAAAGAATGACATAAACTGTACTTGTTATTCCTTATTTCTCCACTGGAAATGTGTGTAGTCCTTTCTCTCTCCCTCACACAGTGAGTCTTCACACACTGCCAGTAGGCTGCTTCTCAGAGAGGAGGCCGCCCATGGTATCCAGACCAAGGTCAGCCTTCACAGGGGTTTTTCCTGTTGACATAAGAAAGGTCAACAGGAAAAAACCCTGTTGTATAGAGAATTGGAAGCACAGTATTTCATGTTCCATCGGTAGGGCCTTGCAAACTCCTGCCACCTGTTTTTGTAGATAAAGTCTTACGGGAACACAGCCCTGATCATATGATTACTCCTCCTCTGTGGGCGTCTTCTCACTGTCAACCACGGACCTGAGTGGTTTCAAGAGAGACCGTGTGCCCTGCCAGGCCTCAACTATTGGCCGTCTGGCCCTTTATAGAATACAATTGCAGACCCTGCTCCATAGAATGTTAACTTGGTTTCGCAGACATCTTGTATTTTATAGAAGAGGTTTTTCAAGGTGGACATGGAGGTGGTTTTTGGTTTTGGCAAGTTACGCTCTCAGGGCGGACACATTGAGTCTCTCGGGGGAGTTTCTGTAGCTGCCGTGTTTCCCATTGCTCGCACACCTGGCCTGTGGGTACCCAGCTCCCACCCTGAACAACAGGTTGGAGAAATCGTCCCCATCGACTGGAATGGTGTGAGGTGTATGAGTCCTTGGAGAAGAGGGATTGGGAAGGAGGGTGGATTGCAGGGGTGACTGTCCAGGCGTGCGTGGCTCCCCGGGGGTGGGGGAGATAAAATGCTCCAGGAACAGCCTTTGGATGGGCACCCAGAGGCAGATTCCCATGCTCACTGGCCTAAAAGTCTTCCAGACACACGGGCTGGCAAACCGGAACAAATCTAACATTTCACAACCCACCGGGGAGGATAGTTTTGTCAGCGGGCAGTTTCTGGTGAGCAGCTTTGGTTCGCCAAATTACACCAGTTGACCTTTTATCTCAACCCACCACTGTTGTGCTTTCGTCTATTTTCCTGTCCCCACCAGTAGTTGCCACAGCAACGCCCAGTACCCAACAACATTGTATGCTCTCTTCATGCGTCTGACTGCTTTTTATTTCACATGAAGTAAAAATCTTTCATGATTTATGTTAGCATCACTATTTCTTCTGATAGAACTGTGGTGGTTAATTTATCCTCTAAGTTCTAGGAGAGGATTATTTATTTATTTATTTTCAAAATGTATTTTATTGATTTTTTTACAGAGAGGAAGGGGAGAGGGACAGAGAGCCAGAAACATTGATGAGAGAGAAACATCCATCAGCTGCCTCCTGCACACCCCCCCCACTGGGGATGTGCCCACAACCAAGGTACATGCCCTTGATCGGAATCGAACCTGGGACCCTTCAGTCTGCAGGTCGATGCTCTATCCACTGAGCCAAACCGATTTCGGCCGGAGTGCATGTTCTTTATATTCCTCACAGCGCCAGGGACAGTAGTGGAGACGGAAATATTTGTGGATGACACTGATGGTCTGGACAATAGAGTCAGACTAAATCTGAGCCAAATAAAGGCCAGTAGTGACCAGGCAGCCATAGCCACCTTTCGGATGTAAGAATATAGACCGTGCATTTGGGCAGGGGATATATAATAATATATATATTTTTGGCAGAGAGCAGATGCTAGTTCCAGCGGCCTTTGGTAGTACATGGGGCTTTACAGAACAATAGGCAGACCCAGGCCGTGCAGGGCCTGGGACCAGCTGGTAGGCTGGCTCTGACCGGAAGGTCGGGATCAAGGTCCTGACCTTGGTCTCCCCAGAGGCCACACCATCTGCTCTCTGAGCCTCGGGGCCCTTCCAACGTCTCAGAACAACCTGTTCCTTGAAAGTCAGGGCTGCTCTCGGATGTGGGTCCCTCCGGACTTCTGTTCCCTTCTCTCCCTCTCCCTGCCAGTCAGCTCCCGCTGTCCCTCAGGGCCCTCTGCACCCCATGCCCCCAGCCCCCCCGGAGTCACCGCGACTCCAGCCCACCTCTGCCTGGCCGTCCAGTTGAGGGCCTGTCACCCTCCAGCTGCCTTGGACCTGCCATGTCCCAATCCCCCCATCCCCAGTGCGGCCCCATGTCCCGGCCAGTGGCCGGCAGGGTGGGGGTTAGGGTTGGGGGGGGGGAGCGGCAGAGGTGTCCCCTCCAGAGACCTCGCTGGGAGTCTGGGGGGACTGGGGAGGCGGCTGTGAGGGGCTTCTCTGCTCCAGGTTCCCCATCACCAAGTGCTGGCGTCTTGTTTTTCAGATCCGCCCTGCCCTGTGCTGAAGATGCTTCCGGAAGAACAGAAGGAGGTAGGTCCCCACCAACCCAAAAGCGAGTAAGTCGTGCATGTTGTGTCACTGCAGGGAGGCGCACAGGGCTCTGTGTGGAGGGTCAAGGGCACAGGGAGGGCTAAGGCTGGAGCACAGCCTCCCCCTCCCCCGCCCCGCCCTGCCAGCAGAGGTGCGTCCTGGCCCTCCTTCTGGGGTCCCAGTGGCAGAGCGTTCCTGCTCTCCACCTCCCCGCACGCTTAGTTATGTCTTTTCCAGGACTCCCCATTCCCCAGACTCTGCCTCCCCCTTGGCCGGAACAGCTCCCCCAGCCTGCTCCCTGGGTTTTCTCCTCTTGCCTCATCCCCGAATTTCCTGCCTCTGGGAGCAGCCGGGGCCAGGCCCGCCATCGCTTTCAGTTTGCCCTGCTTGCCGCCTCTCGGCTCTTGGCGCGGTGCCACCTGAGCAGCTGTCCTTCCCCACCCAGCCCGCCTCTCAGCTCCACCCCAGCCTCCCCAGCTGCCCTCCACCGGAGGAGGCAGGACACCGCACACCGTCCTGTGCCCGTGGTGTCCCTCAGCGGCCTGTTTGTCCTGCCTGTTTGTCCTGAGCCTAACGAAATGGAAAAGCTGCACACACACTCCCCCACACCGACACACACACACACACCAACACATCTGGGTGCACACCATCACACACACACAAACACACACACCTACACAGACACACATGCATACAGACCCAGTCACACACACATGCAAACACACACACCCACAACAACACACACACACACACCAACACACCTAGGTGCACACCATCACACACATACACACACACACACACACACCCCTACACAGACAGACATGCACACAGACCCAGTCACACACACATACACACACACACCCCCACAACAACACACTCACACCCACACCAACACACACACACATATGGGCGCACACCGTCACACACACACATAAACAGACACCCATGCACATAGACTCAATCACACATTTGCATGCAGACACCCCACCCCATAGTCACACACCTGCACACAGTCACACACACGCACACAGACCTCCCCCCACAGTCACACAGCCACATAACCACATGGTTCTTAGTTCCCTTGTCCAAATTGAAAGCACCAAACTATCCACTTCAGGGAACCCGTCCACACACTTCTTTGCTACATCTCACATCAGCCCTCCCCTGGGCTGAGGTTCTCCTCAGTAGTCCAGCCCACTTCACCCTTAAAAAAAAAAAAAAAAAAAAAAAAAAAAAAAAAATATATATATATATATATATATATATATATATATATATATATATAATTGATTTCTTACAGAGAGAAAGACAGAGGGATAGACAGAAACATTGATCAGCTGCCTCCTGCACACACCCTATTGGGGGTGGAGCCTGCCACCTGGGAATGTGTCCTGACCTAGAATTGAACTGATGACCTCTTGGCGCATGTGTTGGTTTTAACACTTGCTTTTTATTATGAACTCAGTTCAATGAATAGAAATGAGACACAAATTTTAACCAATTACAGAAACCATTTTATTGATCTTGTAAAAGTCCTTTATTATAAATAACTGTGTATCATTCATATATATATATAAAAGGCTAAGTGACCAACTATCTGACCGTCCGACCAGCTGGTACCTATGACATGCACTGGCAATTTAAAAATAAACATTGAATCGTGCATGCATGATATTTATAAAGCTCTCTCTGGTGCCAATCTAGACAGAGTAGGAATATTCCTACCTGAACCTGTTTTCAGACATGGTCAGTTATATGTTGCTTTTTCTTGAGTTCGAGTGAAAGTTGTAAATACTTCATCACAAGGGAAATTAGTCAAGCACTCTGAAAGTGTGGTATAAAGGGATGTATTGGTAAAAGTTTAATCAATTTATTAGTCATTGTCTTTTATCAGTGTTGTTTTTATATCATGTTTTTATTGTTTTTTATATTATGTCTTTGTTATATCATGTTATTGTTTATTAATCAATTTATATATTATTTTCATATTCATTTTACTACTTTTATTTAATCTCTGACACTTCTATTATAAAGAAAGGGCAAATAGCAATATTAAAATATTTCTTCTAATTAATTTCCTTTCAATGTGCATGAATCCGTGCACCGGGCCACTAGTGATATTATAACATTAAGGAATTTTAAACTGGAGAGCCCTTCAGGTGAAAAGGAAAAAAGTACTGTAGTCCGGCCAGCGTGGCTCAGTGGTTGAGCCTCTACTTATGAACCAGGAGGTCACAGTTTGATTCAGAGCATATGCCTGGGTTGCAGGCTCAATCCCCAGTAGTGGGTGTGCAGGAGGCAGTCAATGATTCTCTCTCATCATTGCTGTTTCTATCTTTGTCCCTCTCCCTACCTCTCTGAAACCAATAAAAACATATTTTTTAAAAAGAAAAAATACTATGGGGAGAAAGAGGTATAATACTTAGAAATTTACTTGAGTCCCTCATCAGAAAACCCCACAAGACTAGATTCTGGATGTACTGTAATATACGTTCATCATTTATTAATCCATAGAAAATGGATTTTACATGTGGCCAGAATGATCTGGCTCCTAATGTGTCACCCTTAGAGCAAAGTCCAACCTTCTAAATGAGGCTGCTAAGGCCTTTTGGGATCTGACCCTGCTTCCTTCTCCAGGCTCCTCTTCTGCCCCTCCCCCACCCCTTCACATTTCTCTTCAGTTGGAGCTTGTTGGGTGTTGCCTGCTCTGCACCCTGGGCCCTGGGCTTTCACAGATGTCTGCCCCCCTTTCCCCCCATTCCCCCAGACTTCACACCAGCTTGTCTGACTGAGCTTAGATGTCAAGAAGAGGCATTCTGAAAGCCTCCATTATACAGTTATTTTTATCTCACCGCCTACCCCAGCAGCTCCCTGTCCTCCTTACCAGTTAGAAGTGGAGGAGGTTTTGGCTGAGCCTCTGGAAAATCCTTGTGGCTGGTGGGTTGCTCTGTGGAAAATAACTCAGGTCCCACCTCACTGCATAGGGAAGGGCTGACTGCCGTGCCACCAATGGCTCTTGAATCTCCACCGAGGGGCGTGCGTGCGTGCGTGCGTGCGTGCGTGTGTGTGAGCTCACAGTACCCACAGCTGCCTGTACCGATGAATCTCGAGGTAGGCTCGTGAATGGAGAGCTAGGTACCATCCTCGTTCAAGACTCAGACAGCCCGAGTGACTCCTCTCTTCTGCCTCACCGGCAATGCCCGCCTAGCAGTTGGTAATGTTTTGTTGTAAAGATTGGGGTGGGGCGTGGGAAAGCAAGTGCAGTCTCTCATGATAAAACAGCTTTACTGCTGCAATCGATCCAGAGAGAGGAGGGCAGGGAGTGCCAGCCCCCCCCCCCCTCGTTGGTTGAACGCGCCCCGCGTGCACATGGGTTTGCATTCCCAGGAGAGCAGCATCTGGGCTGATGGATCTTCCCCATCAGAACGGCCTTGGCGCTGGGCCACTGTGAAATGAAAATGAATTCAGATCCGCTCAGGCGAGCAACTTTAATTTACAATTAAAATGTTATGGTTACATATTTTAATAAGAATAATTAGATGGACCCAACCGAATCAACCCTCCTGTTTAATGAGACAGAGCCCAGAATCCTGATGAAAAGGCAGGGGGCTGTGGCAGGGAACACGTCCCCCGCAGGGTGTTTGGTGGAGTCAGCGGGAGCATTGGGTTTTCCTGCGTGACTGAGGCCCGAGCCTCTGGGAGGGGGGCATGAGACCCTCCTGCTGCCCAGTCTGTGTCACCGGGTCTGACGTGCTGGCCCTCCAAGGCGGGGCATTCGTCCCCCTGCTCACTCGGTGTAAATGGGACAGTGAGAAAAACCTTATAAATATCTCTTTAACCACATACATGCTTTATTTATTTAACAATGAAAGAATTCTTGCCCAGCTCACCTGGATCAGTGGTTGAGCGTCAACCTATGAGCCAGGAGGTCAGGGTTTGATTTCTGGTCAGGGCATACGTATGCCTGGATTGTGGGCTCCATCCCCAGGAGGGGGCATGCAGGAGGCAATCAATCCATGGTTCTCTCTCATCAGTGATGTTTCTCTCTCTCTCTCTCTCCCCCTCTCCCGTCCTCTCTGCAACCAATAAAAATGTGTGTTAAAAAAAGAAGAAATCAATTAAAACATTTTTTAAAAATCTTCTTTTTAAAGGCAGTTCTACCTCCGTGCAGTGCTGCTTCTTTTGTGTGCGGATCTTTGCTCTCCTGGATGGTGACGGCTGAAGGCCACCTTCAGAGACTCACACTGTTAGGAAAGGGTTTGTGCTCTCTTCTCCGAAGGGTATACACTTCATCCTGAGCACAGTGGCCGTTACCAGCTATTGACACCCTATTGGCAATAAGTCTGCCAGCTCTGCAGTAGCGGGTCCCTGAGTGGAGCAGACCCAGGTGGCCGATGGCCGGGAGGGTTCCAGGCACAAGAGGACCCTGCCTCCAGGAGGGGCCAGGCCCTGGGGGACAGAGGGGAGGGGATTAGTGGGAGGGGAAAGGTAGGAGGGACAGGGGGAGGGGACCGGTGGGAGGCATATGCTTCTGTGTTGGGTGTGTAGGCTCTAAGCTTGACTGCCAGTGTCCTCAAGGTGCATGATGCTGAGGGACGGTGACCTCTGAGGCAGGCTCTAGAAAGGCATGGTTTTGGCATTGGGAAACTGGTTAGAAAATGACGGAGCTACCACCAGTGAGTGTCATTAAAGAACAGCCCACAGCAGGCTCCCGCCTGGTGTGCTGTGATGCCGAGGACTTTGAAGGGAAGTGACAAGACAAAACACTCCCCCACTCTCTAAGACGGAACTTGTGCTCCCTCCCTCCTCTCCTGCCTCTCAGATGTGATACAGTCACAGGGGAGCTGGGAGTGGGGTATGTGGGAATCCTCTGCTATCGTCACAGCTTTTCTGTGCTTCTGAACAGTTCTGGAGCAAACTGTTTTAGAACAAATAACATCTTATTATCTGTGTTCAAATAGGAAGAATTCTAAAAGGTTGTGCAGTGACAATATTTAGAG